ATGGAGGGGACGATAGCGACCGCCTTCCCTATTATGATTACCAATTAGATATCGCCACGTGGATTTTGTACTACAACCATTTGCACTATGGAAATTGAGCGGTTTTTTTTTCTATTACATAAACGAGAATCCACACTAAAAAATTTCCTTCGTAGCAAGAGTTTTTTTTTCTTCTTCTTGTGTCATAGTTACGGTTTTTTTTTTTGGGTATCGTTTATTATTAACGGCTAGTTTTAGTGTCGTCTTCTTACAGTCGGTTTTGCGTTTGTACAATGTAATATCATCTTTTCTAGTATTTTAACGAAATGACAACAAAAATAAGTTACAATTTTTCTGTGATAATGGAGTAGCTATATGTTGACAAAAAAAAAAAGAAAAAATGGAGTAGCTATATGTCATGGTTTATGATAACTCAAAAATCAAAGAAAAAAGGTGAATTGATGAATAGTTTTGGTTAAATCCTTATAGACATTTTAGGGAGTAATTTGTATTGGAATATGAATTTTATGCTTTTAAATAGTTGAAAAAGGAAAATGAGGGGCCACACTTGGTAATTTTTGTATAATGTATACACGCGATCGACGTGAATCTGAATGGTTGACTGAAAAGTCAGGCGTGATGGGACCCTTGCATTATTCAAAAGACGATTATACCCCTATTATTTATTTTGTTTTATTTTCCACTCTGTGGGATTTGAATTTGAATCAGCTCGATTGCATTAAATACATGCGTCGTACAATGTCCATATATAAAAACATCAATAAAACTTAAAAAGTCTATGGAGTGATTCTTAAGACATGCAATTTTTGTAAGTTTGAAGGTACTATTTTTGTCTGAGTTTACAGCTAAAAGAAAAATTAGAAAAAAGAATTAGCAAGGTAACATGGAAGTAATCGGAAAAGCAAAAACATATTTTTCATAAAGTCAATACTTTGGCCTAAAAACCCAAAAATAATGTTGTTATTACGAGGCAATTGGTGTTATAATGCACTAAATTAATCTAGTATAATTGTTACCCTTGAGGCCCTGAGTAGTAACATTTTGTAATTTCAAACTGATTTTGATACATATACGTCGTAAGAGAAAACAACAATTTAATAAAATGAATAAAGATCATGACCACTATTACAAAAGAAGAGCCTAGTCCTAAATGCACGAAGAATCGTCGATTAAAGGTTGAAAGTGATGATTTAAGATTTATTGAATAAAATATTAAACGTTCAAGGATGTACCAACAAAGTCGTTGTAGTATAGTGGTAAGTATTCCCGCCTGTCACGCGGGTGACCCGGGTTCGATCCCCGGCAACGGCGATAATTCTTTTTTTAGTTTTTTGGTATAACTATTGAACCCTCTGATTCATTCCAAGCGTTACTACCTACCTTATCCGTGGAAGATGATTTTACTTTTCAGGCATTTCACACGAGATATTTGCACCTTTTTTCTATTAAAAACGTCATAAATAATCTTCAAAATTCGCAAGTAAATGAATAATTACGTTTATCCTGTCTCAGAACTGCACCTTCATTAGTCATAAAACTATTTTTTTTTTACCGTTTTCCTGCCATTGCAGAAAAAAACTTCCGACATAAAAAGAGTAAAATATTTTAAGATTGCAGTCGCAGACTAACATTATTCTTACTTTTACTCTTTGTTATATTCAAAACCAATTCCTTTAGATAAAAGCGTGTAAAATATATTCAATATGTGTTGTATTTTTTTTCTTGAAAAATATTCAATATGTGTTGTTGTAAATGATTATTTGTTGTAAGATCATTTATAATAATGATACAGTAAAAACAGTGAAGAATCCAATGTTTCAAAATTTTGGCGTATAAACACTGTAGACAGTACATATGCGAGATATGAGTATATGACCGATGTTCATAGTATATTTCTTGTATCATATGTAAAGGAAAATGAATAATTTACATAGAACTTTCTTTTTGTCGTTAATGTACATCGAACTAATCATGACAAAAGTGATCAATTATTTATTTTCAAAATTGATGTATTGCGTTTTTGACACATTCTAACCAATGTTTTCGAAGGTTTTTCGAGTTTTTTCTATGTCTTTAGCGTTTTTAAGGTAAAAACACGTTTAGATGAAGTCTAAGACAAATGAGTAATGAATGGAAGCAAATATGCAGAAAATAGTCAAAAGTTTGGCACTCGTTGAAGCATGTTCCACGGGTGGATCGACCTGAAAATTTGACACGAGCTAAAGCTTCGAGTTATCTTTCATCTAGAAGTTATTTGAAGTTATTCCAACGGTGCGATCGAAAGTTATGTAAGTTTTAGTGAACACATGTCATTCTGGCGAGAAAAGGAAGCAAGTGCAGAAAAGAGAATCA